TATATTATATTATATTATATTATATTATATTTGCCTAGGTTGTAATAAGACTAGTTAATGCTTTGAGTTTGTTTATATTATTTTAGCCAGATAATTAACAATAACAAGGTTACATAAAATCAGGTATTCAACAGCAAAGTGAGACATCATGTGGACACCAAGACCAGACCGAGCAAAGCAAAGCAAAGCAGAGCCGTCTTGTTGACTTACGTCGTCCTCAGACATTATATTTCCGCCCCTGTTTTATTGAGTGTGAGAGCAGACGGAGCTGTTTGGAGACAAAGATGCACGAGGCTGCATCTTCATGCTCAAATGGATGACAGCGGTGGACATGCACTTTGGAGAGGGAGTAAGGGAGGGAGCGAGAGTGAGGCGGAGACAGCACATCTCGGGGAAAATTAATACCCTGGCACTGGCCGCGCAGGGGGAGCAACAGGCGCTGCTGCAGCCGGGAGACGCGCAGTCACACCGGGTCTACAAAGCACCGCCAAACCCGCGCTTCACGATCCCCCCCTAAATGTCGACCCTCTGTGCATTCAATCACATATATACATTAATATCCAAATAATTTTCTCGCGCCTTATAATATAGTCCAACCATCCGATTCGAGGCGACTTAGAGGATCATTTCGGTCCGCGGATCGGGTCCAGGCGGCGGCGTCGGTCTGTTGCAGGAGTTCATCCGCACGGACGCAGCTGTCATCCAGCGCTGAGCGCGTCAAACTGGCCTGGACCGCACAATGTTTCCCCCCACCAGCCGTTGCTATGGCACCCGACCACACGACAAATGGCATTCAGCAACTATCGAAAAAAATAAAATAAAATAACGCGACGTTATCCCGATCGATCCGGATTAACAACACCTTGGAGTCGTGCTTACCTGGCGACGCGCTTCGTGTTGTTTTGTTTCCGTCTTATTTGTCTGGATGACAGTTTGTTTTCCCAGGCGACGGCAGCATCTCCGGGATCATTCTTTTTATTTTTTTTAATTCTTTTTTTTTTTCCACCTGAATCCCAAACAACTTCCGGGGCCTTGCTGGGATACAGACAGAGCTGCTGATCCAATGATTGTCGAATGCATCGATGTATAACAGGTGGCAACAAAAGCAGACGGGATGCACGTGTTTTAGAACACCAGCATCCTTTTATAAGAGCCAGGTAAAGGTGTGTACTGAAATATACCTGAGCCAGTATCCTAACAAGCTGTTTTAAAACACATCCAGGCCTATTTCTTTTAATAATGTGCATTTTCTTTCTGAATTATTAGTTTGTTTATTACCACTCAAAATATATAAAATATAGTGCTTGATGACAAGCGAACAAAATTAAAATCAAGGTAAAACTATGGATCAAAAATAATAATAATATTTTTACTACATTTATTCAGCCACAAGGTGGCAGCAAACTGCTTTTTGACAATCCGATAGATGAGGAGAAAAGAAAACTATACTTTCTGCCTGTTAACAAAATATTTTAGGAGTTATTGGACATTCTTTAATGAAACTCAGAAAGTAATCATTGAATGTACAGCACATTTACAACCAATTAAGTTTTGGAGTCAGCCTGCCCAAAAAGGCCCCCGCAGCTTATCAGTCTTTGCCAGCACAAAAATGGCAACAATGCTATCATTTTTTTTACAGGCACTGAGCTAAAATTTGTTTTGGTAGAGGCTGAGAGTCGTCTCCAAGCCACACTCAGAGTGTTAACAGAATGTACAGTTTTTGTTGAAAATTTTAGCATTGACTATTCAAATCATCCCTGTCTGTCTGTCTGTCTGTCTGTCTGTCTGTCTGTCTGTCTGTCTGTCTGTCTGTCTGTCTGTCTGTCTGTCTGTCTGTCTGTCTGTCAAAATATTTCATGCAGTTTAACAAAACTCTCAGAAAATAATCACTGGATGTACATCTACAGCTGGTTCATTTTTGGAGTTAATCCAATCGAAGATGGCAACTGAAACAAAAGAAAAGCTATAATTTGGTCAGTTTTACAGATGCATATAAATTTGGTGTGGTAGTRGCTGAGAGACATTTTTAGCACATACTTGGAGAGCTAAGGAACTACTGTTGAAGACATTGGCACACAAAGCAGCTGGTATTATGTATTACCTTAATACACAATATTTCTATTGGAAATATGAACATAATAGAGGACAAATAACCCAAAATAAACAGTGGGCCCCATCAAGTTAACCCTTTGAACCCTGTCTGGAGGTGCCCTGTTGTTAAGAAGTTGTTTATAAAAAAAACTCAGTGCAGGTTTCTGTGCATGTAATTCATCACGGCCCCACAATCAAATCAAACTCTAATCAAGACCAACACAAGTCAATCAGCAGCAACAAAGGCAGGGCCACTATTTAAAGCGACGGGGCTTGTGCCACCGCAGCAGGACCTCGTAAGCCTCCTGGATCTTCAGGAACATTTGCTCAGCATCTTTGCTGGGGTTGTGGTCTGGATGCCACGTTTTGGCCAGTTCCCTGTAGCTTCGAGTTATCTCTTCAACAGATGCTTCTGTCTCCAGAGACAATATCTGATGTGGAAAAGATAAAAACATACAGGCGTAAYAAAGAGCATGTCAAGTAATTAAAATACAACATACATGAACTCATAACCCGCTCACCTGCAGTGCCTCTTTTTCTCTGTGTGTGTATTCTTTCAGCAATATTTCCAAGACCTTCCTCCATGCTTCTTCATGGTACCCTCCCCCGGTAAGTGCACACAGGATGCGGTATGGCATTAGAAGGATGTACTCTAATACATCTCTGAGCCAGGGCAGAAACCAGAAAATATCCAGCAGCGCTGCTATTGAGTCAGACAGGTAGTACAGTGTGGCTGTGGTGTTGTGGAAAATGGAGTAACCTAATGGAGCGGAGAAAGCCAACCAGGCTAGACTGAGCCGATAAAGCCGGGGACCTGAAAGAAAAGTGAGAGAAAATGTATATAAAACTTACATACATGGATAAATTAGTTTGTACCTTTTAGTTAAAAAACAACAACTCACAAAGGTCACTAAAATAACTTGAAACTGACAAGATTAAATAAATAAAAAATCAGACTGATTTTAAACTGTGGTTCAACAGAAATATTTAAAAACACACATTTGACAAAAGGATGGTTCTTTTTTCTCTTTTTTTCTTGCAAAAACTTTTGAGGCAATCACAAGCAATTTCTGTAACTCTTCTAACCACAGGAATTTTGGTTCACTCCTCATGAGTAAACTACTCCACCTGTCTCAGGTTTGAAGACGGCCTTCTCAGACTGTAGGTGTCAGCTCCTTCCACAGATGTGCAGGATTAAGATCATGACTCAAGGCCACTTTAGAACAATCCGATGTTGGTCAGCTATTCTTGGGTGTTTATAGCTGTGTTTTAGGCCATTGTCCTGTTGGAGGACCTGATCTGCAACTGAGACCAAGTTTTCTGACACTGGCAACACATTTAATTTCAGAATGCCTTGATAGTCTTGAGATTTCATTGTACCCTTTACAAATTCTAGACTCCTTGTTCCAGATGCAGCGAAGCAGTCTCAGAACATAATCGAACCTAACCCTAACCCTCAATGCTTTAATTACTAGTATTACGTCTTTTTTCTTTGTATGTTCTATTTTTTTTAGCTGTGAACAAAGAACTGMTGTGACTTGTTGCCAAAAAGGTCCAGATTTGTGTCTTCTGTCCAAAGCACGTTCTCTAAGAAGTGTTGTTGTCAGTCTGCCTTTTGTGAAACTTTGTGGTGTCCYCCTCAGCCATCTCCCATTAAATGTATACTGACAGATGGTGCGATCTGACACTGATTAACTTTGACCTTAAAGTTCACCTTGAATCTCTTTGGAAAATGTTCTGGACTCTTTTTAGCCATTCTTATTATCCATTCCTTCAATTTGTTTTCAGTTTTTCTCTTGCACTCATGTCCTRGGGCGTTGGCTAACAGCCTGTTGACCTTAGACTTCTGAATATGTTCAATTGTAGTAAAGAGGAACATCAAGCAGTGAGAAAATGGTCTTATGGTTTTTTCTTTTAATGTGTTAACAATTGTCTTTCTGAGCTTTGGAGACAACTCTGTCTTTAGCTTTCTGTGGTCCATGTTCAGTGTGGTACACACCAGTGGCCAAACAGTACAGTGACTACACCTGTGGTGCTGATTGAGGAAACAGGAGTACCATCCTTTTAGTCAAGCTTTGTTTATACACCCACGAACCACATTTCCAATTCAATATCTGATTTTTATTAGTTGATTGTAATATTTTTCATTACTTTTTTCTGTTTCAAGTCATTTCAGTGACCTTTACTGGTTTTTCTTTCCTTAATTAGAGGATACAAGAAAAAGATGAAAGGATAGCTCACCTAATTTCTGTTGGTTGCCAGGTGCTCTAGGAGGCTTGAACCTGCGGTGTTGTACAGCAGTGACACTCGCAGCCAAGCTTATGGGAAGAGGCGACAGAGTGCTGCCATAGAATATTGGTGACGTTACGAGGCAAGCYGTCAACGTCTTTTGGAGATTTGACGTCTGCTGACCGACGTTAGACACCAGATGTACCCCTGCTCCCACGCTTAGAGGTAGGACGATCAGGTAGAAGTAATTGAGGGAGTTCAGTCCGATGAGAGCCACGGTGCCAAAGTAGATCCCGACACACACCTGTCCAGCAAATCTGACCGGGCTGGCAGGTGGGAGGCCCGTGTTGTGAGTTCTTTCTTCTTTTTCTTCAACATGTTGGTTGGCCTCAGTCACATAAGCGGGAATGCGTATGACCTCTCTGACCCAACCAAACCCAAAGCCTCCTAGAGTAAGCATCCACAGCAGAGCATGGCTGTCTCTTCCTAAGTAGAGATGGTGAAGGCCCAAAGGTCCRCCCACAGCCCACAGGGCGTAGGCTACCAGAACACTTTTTACCATGCTGTGGACTTCAGTGGATCATTACAGGAGAGTAGTCATCCTTCATCAATAACCTGCAATTAATTAACACGAAAATTACATTTTAAGGGCTTTTTAAGAAAAAGCAGTTAGGATTCTTTATCGTTTGGTCTATTCATTTGATTTTGACTAAAACTTGTTGTGTGTTTGGTTATATAAGTCTTATCTTTTACAACTCTTTTCTAAAAATATAAAATCACAAGACAAGACTGTTACATGCAGTGACTCCTCCATTTTATGTTAATCAGTTTTTGCCAGGACACTCAAAGGGATTCTTAATCTCTGTGATTATTTTGTCTTTTGGTTTAAAAACAAGTTATATAAGAGGGATTTGTTTCAGCTCATGAAAGGCATTACGGTTTGACTAGAATAATTCCTCAAAAAAGGGTTATTATGTTACACATAGCTTCTACTTAGAATCAAAATTAAACTTGTATTTGTTTATTTATTTTACACATACTAAGGCCATCTGTTACCCTAACATGTTCAGTATTTGGCTTTAAGTAATAATGACTGAGTTACTTACTTAGTTCTGAATTTTAAATCCTTTTCCTGAGAAATCCTTTCTAGTGTTTTCCGCAGTGGAAGGTGGAGCGTGCTCTTGCAACAGTTGGACTTTGGATCATGACAATAAAATTACACAGTAGTCTCAACACACAGCGTGTATTTATATCTAAACTTTGATCATTTAAACTGATTAAATTAGTGGGGAAAGGGTCTGCATGGTTTTCTTTGTAAAACAAAGATTCTCAAAAGAATGCCACAGAGATTATCTTACAATAAATTGTATTTTTTAAGTTTATATCACTGTGATCTATGTACAGAATTGTAATGTAACTAAGTACAAATACTGTGTTACTGTACTTAAGTAGAATTTTTGGGTAGCCTATCTGTACTTTACTTGAGTAATTATTTTTCAGCATAATTTTTACTTCTACTTCTTACATTTCCACACAATTTATCTGTACTTTCTACTCATTAAATTTTTTTAAAAGGCAAGAAGCAAAAAGTTGTTACTTTTATTTTATTTTTGCTTGTTTTTATTCTAGCTTGATGTTATAAAAATAAATACTATCCATATAAATTATGCCTTCGAGATTGAGTGAATTTAATTTTAGTTGAATGGGAAGTATAAATATATAAAATTCTGATACCGTATTAGTTTGTACACAAACAAATCATGTCACACTCCAGCAGGACATAATCATTCAAATTAAAGGACTGTAAAGAAGTATTTGTATTTCACAAATTATATTATTGCATTTGGCCGCAACCTTCATTTTGGATAAATGTTTGGGCAGCCTTGATATAAACTGAAACAGCTAGACTAGTGCATCCTAAATTT